CAGGAACGTATGTAAGCCTTACGTCTGTCATTTTGGTCGATTTGTTAGGAATCGAGAAATTGACGAATGCTTTCGGAATTCTACTGCTATTTCAAGGCGTCGCCTCTTTTATCGGACCTCCAATTATCGGTATTTATTATGAAAGCCATAACTTTGTCATCAAATGTAACTTATGTTTGAATTTGAAGGCTGGTTGTACGACATGTCAGGATCATATGACCCGGGATTTTATGTGGCAGGTCTGTACACTTGACTACTCTATAAATAGCATTCGTGGCAAAACCTCTTAAAGTTTGACTCATTCATCAAATGACCAAAAATTAACTTTTAGTTTGTTTTTCTTATCAACTCTATTGTTACCCGACTTATTATTTTAAGCCTCAATGAAAACTCTTGAACCCAACTGTATATATAATTTGTAATTCTTATGATTCTTATGCCTTAAAATAGATCTCATTATCCAGTGAAATACACTATATTTGTTTTGTGATGACTTTATTTTATTTTACTTTTTGAATTTTTCTTTTTATTAGATTTCAAAAATACAGACATTTTAAAACTTAAATTATCAAACAAGCAAAATTTTTTAAATAATTAATAATTCATTTTGAGTTTTTGTTGGCAAGATGTTAGTGAAATTTAGATACATTTTAAATTTAATTTTCTTAATTCTATTATTAGATTTAATTTGTAATTGAGTGCATAAAGAGTTTTTTAAATAATTAATAATTCATTTTGAGTTTTTGTTGGCAAGATGTTAGTGAAATTTAGATACATTTTAAATTTAATTTTCTTAATTCTATTATTAGATTTAATTTGTAATTGAGTGCATAAAGAGTTTCTAGGAATTAGACATTTTGATATAAATTGAATATGAATTTCAAAATCAGTCATAAGTTATAATTCATAGTTTATATAAGATTTTATTCATGATAAATTCTATTTTGAAATTCAGAATCTGAATGAAAAACTATTAGCATAAAATTAAAAATAATTTTTATAGTTTGAGTGTTTTTAACAGTAATGTGTTTGTGATTTGTTTGGCAAAAGTCTTAAGACTTAATCTATTGATTGCCAAAACGGGCCTCACCTCTAAAACACTGTCTTATTATCAAAATATACAACAAAACGCTCTCAAAATTATTGAGTGCAATATTTTTAAAAATATACTTAAAAGTTATAAATACATAATTTTATAAATAAAGTAATTTAATCTGAAATTTATTTATAATGTTATCACAGAAAATTAATCTAACAAAATATTTGCACAATTTTTAATAAATCATATTTGTTATTTGTGTAATGAATGTCAACAAAAAAGGACAAACAAGTTGAGAAATACATTTTATTTTGATATCAGAAAAGTTAAAAAAGTAAAACAAAAAAAAACAAAATTTTTATATTAAAAATATATTGTTTTCTGTCATAAAACTTGCGAAATGAAAAGTAATCAAATGAATAACAAAATGTTTTCAATCATAGGTTGTATGATAGCAATGAGTGGAATAATGCTATATTTCATAGCATTTGCGAAATACTTCAAGTCTTTGAAGAAAAATTTTTCACTTTAATATTTAATAACATAATAATATATATTTAATAAGAATATCAACAATTCCAACAAATGGTGATTTTTAATGAAAACAAAACAAAATTTGGACATAATTACTAGAATAATCTCTTTTATACAATAATTGTTTAAAAATTTAATGCAAACGTTATACGAGTGAAAATGTTACATAATTTGTTTAACATATTATAATATTATCATCTTTTATTGTGTTAGATATGTGAATATTATAGAGAATCTGTAAATATTTTAATCAAAATATTTCTTAATAGGAAATGAAAGCAATGCCTTATTTACTCCAAACGTTTATAACAAATATAAAAATGGTTACAAACAAGAATTGTATAGTAATTGCTAGAAATTGTTATACGGTTTCCCTGTTTATACTCTACATTGTAGTGTTGGACAGAAAACTTAAAAATGTAAACTCCAGACAAAAATTTTTATAAATATTTGTTTCAGATTAATACATAAATGTAAATTATTGTTCAATACTTAAATCGTTGTTTTCTCGTTACTATAACTATTATGTTTCCAATATATTATATGATAATAAATTAATATTATTTTAATGTACGTTTAAATTTAAAATTTAATATCAAAATAAAATTTCTAACATTATAAATATATAAATTAAATTATTTATGTTATCATTTAATGTTTTGTTATGAATGTACTTCATATAAATTGATATCAATATCTTATAAGTGTTAAGTTAATTAAATGGTTAGCAGAATGGCCCAGTAGATTAATGCAAACAAACAAAAACTTAAAGGAAAAGCAATTCTTGAAATATGATCAATGTGTTCTGACCAGATCACTTTAGTTTTACCATCATCTACCAGACTTTCATTACTTTGTCGATGAAAATACCCACATATGTTAGGAATATAATGACAAAAAGTATGTGAGGTTGAATTTGATTCAGAATTTATTGTTAAATAAGATTTGCCCCCAAATCTTGAAATATTTATTTGTTTTTGAATATTAGACAAATGTTGTGCATACCCTGGGACCTAATAGTAGTTATAATAAGTATTTTCAATAAGAGTTTCATAATTATTTATATAGTTATCAAATAAAACAAACCAATGGATAATGTGGTGAAGTATAGTAAAGGTAAGAATTTCTGTGTTTTACAAAGAATTCATTATTAATACTAATGGCTTGCTTTTGATTGGTTTCCTTCAATTTCTTCTTCTTTTCCTTCAATTTCTGAGTCTCTGTTTTGTCGTTTTCTACCTCTGAGTGCACCTCATATCTCCATTCAATGAATTTAGCAATTATATACTCAACAAGTGAACCAAATATGAAAATTGAACAACCCTTCATTTAATAACTATTGGTTAATAACTTATATCGAATAAATCTAATCAAAACTAAATAAAAACTATTTGTAGATACTTACCAACATCCATATGTCTATTATCTAAAATAAAAAACATTTAGCTCACTTCATTTGAACAAATAAAATAAAATGAAATGCATACAGTAATGTATGAAAGTCCAGGTAACTCTTGGCGTACACTAACAGATTGAGAACTGATTGCAAGCAAACACATAACACACAGAGCGACTCGACCCGGCTTTGAATGCAAATCTATCCTATAATTTGTAAACTTATTATTTTAGAGAAATTATTTTTAAAATCAATTTTAAAATCAATATTAAATGAGAACCAAAATGAGAGCCAACTTAAGCCAACGATGAGAATGCTGGGAAAATAGACCTGCGATAGTTTGTTGAGTATTAGTCGCTTAAATATAAAAGTAGTCTTCACAATTGAAAAGTTGCCTGTTCATTTCATTGAATTAATGATTAGTATAATATATCATATACATTATATTTTCAATCTATTAAAAAGTTAAATAAAGTTTTAGTTGACATGACCTTCAAAAAATGGTTTACTAATGGATTCACTGATAACATTGAGCGAGTGCTGTAATAATCTTAAATCTGGGTTTAAACTCCTGGCCGGTAATATATCCCAAACATATGAAATCTTTTTCACTTGATGAGAATCTTTAAAATTATAATATTGGTTATTGGTTGAAAGTATTTTAATTTATAAATTTAAAAACTCATCTTACAACTTCTGAACTGCATGTGACAATTGATTGTCTCTCTGGGGTATTCATGAAAATCCATGGGACAGCTCACGATTGCTGCCATTCTATACAAATGTTCTCAAATTAGTATTTAATTGCTGTATATCCCATAATTGTATTTTAAAGACTTTGATAAATATTCCAGGTAACAGTAATTTCCATAATTCTTGATTTTCAACACTAATTGTGAATCACTAGCCTGTTGCTCTGTCTTGGCGTTTATTAAAACTGTCTGTTATTTTAAAAACATGTAATAATTTTCATTACAAAAATAATTTACTGGCAAATAAATAGTATTCAATATTACGTCCGGAATCCAAAAGAATTTAAAGTCATTTTTAATAATAACGGCTGTCTCTGAAGAATTGATATTATACTTTAAAATTAAGTGAAAAGTTTGATCAACACAAATAAAAAAGTATGCCTTTAGTTGTATTCAAGTAAATGTTTCCATCCCTTAATTTCTTGAGATATGGTTCACAAAATTCTTGCGAAACATTCCACTCGTGTCTCAAATAATAGTCGAGACGAAAATCCTGACATATATTTGATTAAATATTTGTAATATAGTGGAAAGTACACCAACCATACCATGTCCTTATCATTGATTGAGTTGATATCATCCGTATATAAAGAAATTAAAACGACAAGTGTTTGGCCTAAAAATCAAACGAAGGTGTAATAAATTTAAATACTTTTGAATTAATATCATTGTAATTAATGTCAATTTTATAATGTAATATTATAATATATAAAATTAATAATTTTAAAAATATTATAAAATAAAACCTTAGTATACCTTCATTGACGGGAATTAACTGTATATCTGTTTCCGACTTAATTCCTAAAAACAAAATGATTATAAATGCAAACAATTGCCACTTGATTTTACAATTAAATCCTAAAGTCATGATTATGTTAAACCGATTTGAATTAAAAACAAAATCCTATTGAGCCAAACAGTTTTTAACAAGATTTAGCTAACTGTTTTCAATCTTACTATGTTGTAGAAATTGACTTTTGTATTCACATATCGATTATTTTCTTGAAAAATGTGAATTACATAATACATTTGTAACTAATATTTTTAATGCATAAATCAATCAAATAATAAACCCAATAAATTGCAAAAAAACTAATTTTATTAAAGTTTTTCACGCAATCAAAGCATTTGAATAGTTTGTTTGAATGGTTTTAACATTTAGAAATGTAATCTATATTTCAATAAATTAATATGAAATAAATATACCGCTAAAATATTGTAATAATTATTTTATTACGTCAAATTGCATGTAATACAGATTACTTTAGAGTTTTACATTGAATTTATGCTATTTAATAATACATGACTTTTCTTATTTAAATCTTCAAATTGATTTCAATGAGAATAAGAAATAATTCAAAGTTATTTAAATTTAAATCCAAATGTAATATTAAAACGAATTGAATTAGTTAATATGATTGGATAGGGTGGACAAATTTTAATAAAAGTCAAAAAGTTATGTGTAACAAATTAATTAATTCCTTTTGCTATTTATTGTAATTTTTTATAATAAATATATTAAAATAAAATATTCTTTATATTAAAAACGATCAGTTGTTTACAGCAAATATTTCTATTGATAATTCTTCTTTATTAAAATTTTTCCAAAACTACAAAATACCTAATAATTAAAATCAAAATATAATAATGTAGTAATTAATATAAATTAGTTTAAAATATAAACAATTTTTTTAACAAACTTGATATACTGTACAGTATCATAGTAAAATTAGAAGTTTATACTGGTTTTAATGAATTGAGATGTCTGACAGATGTCACTGTAACTGCATTTAACCCAATATTAGTCTAACACAGAATATAAATTTACAGAATAGTGAATACATTGAATATTAATAAACTACCGTAAGTTTACTACTACAATGATTGTTCAGAAAAGTATTGTATTTGCTTGTATATAAATTAGTAAATGTATTTTTAAATAAAATAAATATTTTTTGTTCTGGTGCATTTAATTTTATTTTGAAAATATTTTTGAATCTTATACAGTATTACTGACTAAAATAAAAACAGTCTAATATACTTCATTCAGTATATTATACTGTATAAGAAATATGCACTGTAAGTGTAATATTTTTATTTTCCATTTACTGTGTTATAAGTTGAAAGTTAATTAATAAATTGCATAGCAAATTTTAAATAGTTATTACTATTTGGAAAAACATTTAATATATATTTGATGGACATATGAATTAATAGCATATACGATGAGATGCAATGAAAATGTGGCAAACGCTTTGTCGGAAAACTTAAATATTTATGGCAATATTAATTAGATATTGATTTAGAAATGGCTTTTTGTGTGCGGATAGAAAAAGCGGCACAAGAAATATTATATATCATTGTATAGAGTAAAATGCGGTTCAATTAATTCCTACATTAGTTTTTACAATTGAGACCGCAATCCATTGATTTATAGTTTAATTTCATTAAAACCCAATCTTTTTTGAGGTCTGATAAGTGTCAGAGCGATTGCCACAAACAGGTGATGGCTATTGTCTGGGTCTTGAAAAACGATGATTAATTGTTTTGCTTGTTTAGTGTGAGTGCGAGTGCGGGCACACATCCACACACTATAATGTATAGTATTTTAGTATTTTTTATATTATCAAAAGCCATCGCTCTATTGCCGCTCCACTACTTTAGGTGACTTAACTCGTGGCTGAAGTTAAGTTAATTTTTTATTGTCAGTCTAATTGTATGCTCCTATGGCGAACAAAAGGGCTCAACTCTCCACCAAACATCCCATACACATCCCGGCGCTCAATGAAACCAAATCTCAATCATCATCGCTAATGACCGCAAGATTATGAGTGAAAATCTTATAAATTATCATTCCTGTGAACATATGTATTGTTATCTCATTGAATCATTATTTCGCCAAATGTGTGAAAAACTATTTATTTGCGAAAATAATAATTAATGAAAAATCTAAAACAGTGTGAGAGATAAGCCCTTTAGTTATGGTTTGGGATTCAATTTTGATACGATATCCGTTTGAGTGGCAAATACTGACTGTGCTTTCATCGATCATTTTCATTGACAGTAAACGCAATGGCACTCAATTGTGGTGCCAATAATTATCGCCGCAATCATAGGTACTCCTATTGCGAGATATATACAGCACTGGTAGGTATGGTGCGGGGCCTCCAATCGACGGGTAATTACAAGTGACCACTAAATTCATTTGAGTTGCAGAGGAAGTGAACAAACACTAAACAAAACACCAAATATTAAATCTAAACGAAAAAAAGCAGAGAAACAAATGGGAATTGAAAAAACAATTCATTTAATAACGATTGCAACACAACTGCAATACAAATGCCATACAAATCCTAAACACAAACTTCAAATCGTGTTTAGAGAGAGACCTGAAATCTATCAAAAGTATGAGCTTATGATGTGATGGTATGGTATGTCTGGCAGAGAGAGCACAGACACATCCAAACCATAAGTATAAATATATACACGAATTGATGGGTTTGTGTTTTAACAAAATTACATTTTTATATGTGCTGTTTGTTTCTGCAAATATATCTAATGTAAGCCACAAAATGCCACAAAAGGTAATTCCGATGCAGTGTTGAAATGTGGAGACTGTGAGGGACTGTAGTCTAGAGTGTGTGTGTGAGTCGAGCCCATGATTATGATTATAGGCTGTCATATGGTTGATGAGCCAACAGAGAAGGTCACGACTGACTTCATACTTCAATTGCTTCACTAATCGAGACTTTTAGCAAAAGTAATTTCAGGTGCGATACTGATTGAGACCAAATTCATTACCATCTCATACACACCAATCAATTTCGACGCCTTACCTCTCCCTTAGATTTTTATTTAATAAAAAACGTTTTGCGCAATAAATTAGTTGAACACAAAAATTTCTTTTCCAATCAATCTATAAATTGAAAGTGAAGTCAATTTATGGTTTTAGATGTGAGACGGACTCTAATTGTAATGTTTGGGAAACGCGAGGGAAAGGGAGAGGAAAGGAAACAAAAAATCTTATTTGTCTAAATCTACTGGAAAAGTGAATTTCCAGAAAATTATAGTCAAAACGTACGCAAAATTGTTGCGGTGGTTGCGGGTGGAGAGGATATTATGGGAGGACCTGCCAGTGCTCTGTCTCCTAAAAACAGTAATTTTCTGTTATTGTCTCTAACATAGCATCGTCTTCAGTGCACATTCCGTGTATCCCAATCCCAAACTTGTGGTCCTTTTCCTTATCCATTATTTTAAATCTCTTAAACTTTTCTTTTGGTCATTGTTTTCATCGCAAATAATAATAATATTCACATAATAATAATACATTATGTTTAATGAAAACTGGTTTCGAGTCTTGAATTTAGTTTATTTTATAAATAGATTTTTCGGATTTGAAATTTGAGCCTAAATTCGAGTGTATTTGATATTTATTCGCGACTTTAATGTAATTTTGAAATATTTTATTTTATGATTGAATTCCCGATGAAATTATTCTTAAATAAAATTTTTGATAACTTAATAGAGTTTTTCCAAGAAAATGTTTTCCCTTTTCTATTGCTGGCTATAAAAATAAAACTTTCTCCAAAAGTATTAATAAAAAGAAAATAAATTTTACATTCATTAAGATCTTAGTATTTGTTATTATTTATTATGATTAGTTAATCATTTTTATTACAAATATTAATAAAAAGCAGCCAAAAGTAAATATTACTTATATATGTTTTAAGGTTATATATTGAATTGATCTGATATTGAAAATAAAACATAATTATATTCATTGTTTTAATTAAAAAACATGAAATTTATAAAAATTGATCTTGGATAAACTTTTCATTTCCTGGTATTTTAAATTAAATTTCAAGTTTTAAAACATGTAATTATATAAAGAAATTAAGAATTAAAGATTCAATTGAATACAAAAATTTAAAATTAGGACTTAGTTTAGTCTCTATTATTTGCATTTATCTATTGTTAAAACATCAAACCATTACTTAAATATAATTACAATTAATTTATTTGAGTTGAAACATGAATATAAATATTGTTATTTAAACTTCAATTTGTGGTTTTGAGTCTCAACAAAATAAGCAATTTTTAATAATTTAGAAAAATTTCCACATTATTTTAGTGTTGAAACTTTCAAACTCATAACTAATGATAAATTATAAGCAAAAACCAGTTTCTATGGCATAAATAAAAGCGTTTATATCTTTACTTTCAATAAATTAGATTTTTATGAAAATTATTTTTCCAGAAGTAAGAAAAGCATTGAATATTAGAATTGCATAATTATATACATGTAATCATATAATACTTAAATTATAATTAATTAAAGTAATATAGAGGGACAAGAGTTAACTTTTGACACTAAAAGTGAGGTAGATTTCCATGCATTGAATGCAATTACTTTAAATAATTATTTATAAATACTGGCAAGGTATAGTGTTGGCATACCTGTATTAAGTTTAATTTTGAATAAAGAATATTTACTAAATATTCACTATTTTTATTAAACTTGAAAACTGAATATTATGTCCAAAATATGAATGAACATATTTTAGCAAATTGTTCAACAGTTTTAATTTAATAGTACTTAAGGCAAAGTTGAGATTTAAATTTATATCTTATGAGTTGTCTTATGGATCGGCCATTAGATGAATGAGTGCTTTCAATATAAAACACGAAATAAGTTAATATCAAAATTTATAACGAAAAATAAATTCATATTTCTTTGCATAAAGTAATGAGTTTTTTCAAAACTAATTAAATTGTTAAGAGAAAAGTCGGCAAAAATAAAATATCTTTATATAAGTGAGAGATATATATGTAATAAACAAGTTGTCGGACGAGTAAACAAATTAGAGTATAATTTATAAGATGCAAATGAAATCATAACTCCGTGAACTTTCCTTCCCTGAAAAAATTGTTTAGCAATTCATAAGATCCAGTTCCTCCTCACAAATATTGGATTATATGATATCTCCTTTGAGTGCTGGAGAGATCTCCTACAAGTTTACACACTATTA